AAGGCCTTCCACAGAGGCGTGAATTTATTAAAGAATATTTTTTCAAGGCCTTATCTAGGCGTGGACCATTTAAAGAATATGTTTTCAAGGCCTAAACTAGGCATGGACCATTTAAAGAATATGTTTTCAAGGCCTTCCACAGAGGCGTGGATTTATTAAAGAATATGTTTTCAAGGCCTTCCACAGAGGCGTGGATTATGTAAAGAATATGTTTTCAAGGCCTTCCACAGAGGCGTGGATTATGTAAAGAATATGTTTTCAAGGCCTTCCACAGAGGCGTGGATTTATTAAAGAATATGTTTTCAAGGCCTTCAATAGGTGGGGATTTTTTAAAAAATATTTTCTTAAGGCCTTCCGTAGGTGAGGATTAATTAAATAATATTTTTTCAAGACCTTCCATAGGTGGGAATTTTTTAAAAAATATTTTCGCAGGGCCTTCCATAGGTGAGGATTTATTAAAGGATATTTTTTCAAGACCTTCCATAGGTGGGAATTTTTTAAAAAATATTTTCGCAGGGCCTTCCATAGGTGAGGATTTATTAAAGAATATTTTTAAGGCCTTCCACAGAGGCGTGGATTATTTATTTTTAAAGCCTTCCACAGAGGCGTGGATTATTTAAAGAATATTTTTAAGGCCTTCCACAGAGGCGTGGATTATTTAAAGAAAATTTTTAAGGCCTTCCACAGAGGCGTGGATTATTTAAATAATATTTTTAAGGCCTTCCACAGAGGCGTGGATTATTTAAAGAATATTTTTAAGGCCTTCCACAGAGGCGTGGATTATTTAAATAATATTTTTAAGGCCTTCCACAGAGGCGTGGATTATTTAAAGAATATTTTTAAGGCCTTCCACAGAGGCGTGGATTATTTAAAGAATATTTTTAAGGCCTTCCACAGAGGCGTGGATTATTTAAAGAATATTTTTAAATCCTTCCACAGAGGCATGGATTATTTAAAGAATATTTTTAAGGCCTTCCAGGAGGCGTGGATTATTTAAAGAATATTTTTAAGGCCTTCCAGGAGGCGTGGATTTTTTAAAGAATATTTTTAAGGCCTGAGGAGGCGTGGATTTTTTAAAGAATATTTTTTAAGGCCTGAGGAGGCGTGGATTTTTTAAAGAATATTTTTTAAGGCCTGAGGAGGCGTGGATTTTTTAAAGAATATTTTTTAAGGCCTTCCACAGAGGCGTGGATTATTTAAAGAATATTTTTAAGGCCTTCCACAGAGGCGTGGATTATTTAAAGAATATTTTTAAGGCCTTCCACAGAGGCGTGGATTATTTAAAGAATATTTTTAAGGCCTTCCACAGAGGCGTGGATTATTTAAAGAATATTTTTTCAAGGCCTTCCAGGAGGCGTGGATTATTTAAAGAATATTTTTAAGGCCTTCCAGGAGGCGTGGATTATTTAAAGAATATTTTTAAGGCCTTCCACAGAGGCGTGGATTATTTAAAGAATATTTTTAAGGCCTTCCACAGAGGCGTGGATTATTTAAAGAATATTTTTAAGGCCTTCCACAGAGGCGTGGATTATTTAAAGAATATTTTTAAGGCCTTCCACAGAGGCGTGGATTATTTAAAGAATATTTTAAGGCCTTCCACAGAGGCGTGGATTATTTAAAGAATATTTTAAGGCCTTCCACAGAGGCGTGGATTATTTAAAGAATATTTTTTATTTGTCCTTTATTACTGAACTTCCCTCGTTGTTTTTTAAAACATTTCATTTAAAGACACATATTACTAGCCTGGATATGCGCTTCCGATTTATTTTGTGTGCATCTCGTAACAACATTTACATATCAGTCTTTCTTTAGTTCAACAATTTTTGTTGTGTTAAAAACACACACACACCCACACAAAGCCGTAGAGTTACAATTGGTTAGACAATTGTGGATTGGACTCGTTTCATTTTATTGTGTGCGGACGTTGTCTTTGTCGCAACGGTGACATTGGTGTCGTTATTGTCACTGCTGCAGTTGTTGATGATTGCGATAGGGGGTTTTTTATTCTACAGCTGAAGTAAATTTTGTTTGGTTTTGTTTTTTCAAATGAACATATACTTCCACATGAAAATTACACACATTAAATCCTGGAAAATTCGTAACGAAGTTCTATTAACTACAGATTTATACTTTTAAATGTAGAATGGGTTCTCTTATGTGGTTGGTGATAGAATAATTAATATTTAGATAATACTACTTCGATAATTTCGTTTTTAGTAACTTTTTTGTATAAAATTTATTATTATATAGACTGTTATAATCAGAATAATACATGACTGAATCTTGACTCCCCTGCCCATGGCCAATATCCATTTCTGATGATAGGTTATATCGGTAAACATTGTCGGTTTTAAGTCACTGCACATACTGCTTAACGAAACAATGCCAACTAATTTATTATGACAGATCAATGGAGCTCCTGAATCGCCACGGCAGGTATCAACAAAAGGATCTTTGGGATTGGCAACACAAAGTAAATCGTCGGTAAAATAATTGCCATAAGCCTTCACACACAGAGAATTGGACACTATGCTCATATTGCCATAGGTAATGCGATCAGCATATGGACCGTCCTGCAAAAAATAATTCAATTTAGAAAATATTTAAAAACGAAACAAGAAACAAACAAAAAGTATTCTTTAAAAAATCAAAACCTTGTATAGGCCCTTGAAAAATATTTTTTAAATAATACACGCCTTGTATAGGCCCTTAAAAATTATTATTTAAAAACCCCAGGAAAAAATATTCTTTAAATAATCCACGCTTTGTATCGACCCTTGAAAAAATATTCCTTAAAAAATCCACGCCCATGGACAGCCTTGAAAATATTCTTAAAAAAACATCCACGCCTATGGAAAGCCTTGAAAAAATATTCCTTAAAAAATCCACACCTCTTTTAGGCCTTGAAATAATATTATTTAAAAAATCTATGCCTTGATTTGGCCTTGAAAAATATTTGTAAACAAATCCACTCCTCTTTTAGGCTTTCACAAATATTCTTGAAAAAATCCACGCCTCTTTTGGCTTTCAAAAAATATTCTTAAAAACTCCACGCCTGTGGAAGGCCTTGAAAAATTGTCTTTAAAAAATCCACGCCTGTGGAAGGCCTTGAAAATTGTCTTTAAAAAATCCACGCCTGTGGAAGGCCTTGAAAATTGTCTTTAAAAAATCCACGCCGGTGGAAGGCCTTGAAAATTGTCTTTAAAAAATCCACGCCTGTGGAAGGCCTTGAAAAATTGTCTTTAAAATACACGCCTGTGGAAGGCCTTGAAAAATTGTCTTTAAAAGGCTTTCACAAATATTCTTTAAAAAATCCACGCCTCTTTTGGCTTTCAAAAAATATTCTTAAAAACTCCACGCCTGTGGAAGGCCTTGAAAATTGTATTTAAAAAATCCACGCCGGTGGAAGGCCTTGAAAATTGTCTTTAAAAAATCCACGCCTGTGAAGGCCTTGAACAATTGTCTTTAAACAATCCACGCCTTATATTGGGCCTTGAAAATTTTTCTTTAAAAAATCCACGCCTTGTATTGGGCCTTGAAAAAATATTCTTTAAAAAATCCACGCCTTGTATTGGGCCTTGAAAAAATATTCTTTAAAAAATCCACGCCTGTGGAAGGCCTTGAAAAAATATTCTTTAAAAAATCCACGCCAGTGGAAGGCCTTGAATAAATATTCTTTAAAAAATCCAAGCCTGTGGAAGGCCTTGAAAAAATATTCTTTAAAAAATCCACGCCTGTGGAAGGCCTTGAAAAAATATTCTTTAAAAAATCCACGCCTTGTATTGACCCTTGAAAAAATATTCTTTAAAAAATCCACGCATGTGGAAGGCCTTGAAAAATTGTCTTTAAAAACATCCACGCCTGTGGAAGTCCTTGAAAAAATATTCTTTAAAAAATCCACGCCTGTGGAAGCCCTTGAAAAAATATTCTTTAAAAAATCCACGCCTGTGGAAGGCCATTGAAAAAATATTCTTTAAAAAATCCACGCCTGTGGAAGGCCATTGAAAAAATATTCTTTAAAAAATCCACGCCTGTGGAAGGCCATTGAAAAAATATTCTTTAAAAAATCCACGCCTGTGGAAGCCCTTGAAAAAATATTCTTTAAAAAATCCACGCCTGTGGAAGGCCTTGAAAAATTGTCTTTAAAAAATCCACGCCTGTGGGAGGCCTTGAAAATTTGTCTTTAAAAAATCCACGCCTTGTATTGGCTCTTGAAAAAATATTCTTTAAAAAATCCACGCCTGTGGAAGGCCTTGAAAAAATATTCTTTAAAAAATCCACGCCTGTGGAAGGCCTTGAAGAAATATTATCTAAAAAAGCCACGCCTGTGGAAGGCCTTGAAAAATTGTCTTTAAAAAATCCACGCCTTGTATTGGCCTTGACAAATAATCTTTAAAAAATCCAGGCCTTGTATTGGCCCTTGAAATATTATTGTTATTGTATTATTGTTATTGCCTTGAAAGAAATATTTTTTAAAAATATCCTCGCCTATTCCACAACCAATGGGCCTTGAAAGAAATATTCTTTTAAATAATCCACGCCCATTTGCAAGGCCTTGAAAATATGAAAATATATGCAAGGCCTTGAAAATATATTCTTTAAATAATCCACGCCTCTTTGCAAGGCCTTGAAAATATATTCTTTAAAATCCACGCCTCTTTGGATCGCATTGAAAAAATATTCGTTAAAAACTACGGGCCTCTTTAAGGCGATGATTTTTTTATCCGCGCATATTTTTTGGCCCTCAAAAAATATTCTTCTCATATAGGTTAAAAGCCTTACCCAATAAAGCTGTCCCCATCCCAGAGTTTGACATTTAGTTCCCACCTCTGGTCTGTGTTTTTCCAATGATATAATTTTGATTTTTGTATTTGATCTTGGTATTGAGTCGGACAACACCAGCAGGGCAATATCATAACCTTTGCGTCGCTGAAATTTGGGATGTGGTATAACCTTTGAGACCATAAACTCCATTGTGGTCTGTTGTTTTTTCAAACGATTTGGAGAGCCTGCCACCACTCTTAGCCGCCGAGGACGGGTAACAATGCGATGTCCACTAAAAGCCAGACTAGTTTTAATATATATTTGTTTTCTTCCCTTCAATTCCATACTCACTCCACCACACAATGAGCGGCTGTCAAAATTATTCTCGAGGTAATAATGGCACCGGCACAAAAATGATTATCACCAAAGTAGGCGGTTGGCTTGCGGGTCCTAATCGACACCACATGACGATCTAAATCGGCGTTTATTGGTCTATAACCACTGCTAATACGGCCTTGGATTTTCACTATGCGGTCATCATATTCAGCTAGTGTACGATCTACAAAATCTTGCTCACCTTTGCGCAAGGGTCTATAATGGCTAATAATGGCATATGAACCATTTACGGAAGGTAACAAATTGAAGAAGCACAGCAGTAATGTTGGTCCAAACAAATTCCTCAAATATGCCATTTGAATATTTTTTCAAATTTTATTTTTCTTCTAAAAAATCACAATAAAAACAAAAACAACAACAACCAAAATGTCATTTACCATTGTCAATTGATTTGATTTACTTAAATGCTGTTCAATCCACTGACGATGATACCAAACATCTGTGTATAGGCTGGCGGCATGGAAGCTACCACAACCAATGGTCCACGAAATGATACCGGTTAGGGTGTTATTGCAAATCAAAGGACCACCGCTGTCACCACGACAAGGGTCCTGTTTAAACGGTTTATTTTCACCGGCACACAGCATACCTTCTTTAAATCTGTCTGCCAGTTTTTGACGACATTCCTCGGGTGTGTATAGACGGACGCCCAAATGTGTTGCCAAATCTGACAGGGGACCGTTCTGAGAATTGGTGAGAAACGAAAATGTTTTTCGTTGAAATCAAATAAGGGAATTACTTACCCTACACAAGCGGCCCCATCCCAATAACGTACAATGGCTACCATATTGAGGTGGACCCACCGGTAACTTAATGGCTCTTATGGCCGAGCTATTCTCCGGTATTAGTCCCTTCAGACGTATAATGGCAATATCATTTAGATTTTTGCGTACAAAATTTGTATTAGCCACTAGAGAACGTACTGGGTACTGAATGGTAGTATTGGCAGGTTCCACTCGATTTGGCGTTCCAGCAACCAATAACAACCTACGAGGTTTGGTTATAACCCGACGTTTGCTGTAAAGAAAACATATTTTGAATTATAATTTCAGGTACCTTGGTAACTACCCTGCCTTACTCCATCACACAATGGGCCGTGGTCAGCACTAAATCCTTTTCAATTATTGTCCCCGCACAGAAATGATTATCACCAAAATATTTTTGTGGATTTCTGGAACGTATCGATACCATATAGGGTAGGAATTTTTCCATTGGTATTGGATTTCGGGAGCCGCCAGCAATCAGATATGTAAATTCCGTTTCAGGATCTTCCATTTCTAATTGTAATATTTCTTCCAAAGATGTTGAATTCAGGGTGGAGAAATTGGCGGTTAATTGTTTAAAAATTGTCAGAATTAGAAAGAATTGTGTTTTTGGAAATTCCATATTTTATTTTAATTGATAAGCATAGAGTTGTCACTTTTTTAAAATAAAAATTTTAAAATAGTCTCGATTTTTTAAAAGAATATTTTTTCAAGGCATGGAAGAGGCGTGGATTCTTTAAAGAATATTTTTTTAAGGCCTAGAAGAGGCGTGGATTCCTTAACGAATAGTTTTTCAAGGCCTAGAAGAGGTGTGGATTTTCAAAGAATATTTTTTCAAGGGTCTAAAGGAGGCGTGGATTTTCAAAGAAAATTTTTCCAAAGGTCTAAAGGAGGCGTGGATTTTTTAAAAATATTTTTTCGAGCCACTATAAGCCACTAAAGGAGGCGTGGATTTTTTAAAAATATTTTTTCGAGCCACTATAAGCCACTAAAGGAGGCGTGGATTTTTTAAAAATATTTTTCCAAAGGTCTACAGGAGGCGTGAATTTTTTAAAGAATATTTTTCTGAGGGCCTACAGGAGGCGTGAATTTTTTAAAGAATATTTTTCTAAAGATCTAAAAGCGGCGTGAATTTTTTAAAGAATATTTTTCTAAAGATCTAAAGGAGGCGAGGATATTTCAAAGAATATTTGTTTAAGGATCTACAGGCGGCGGGGATGTTTCAAAGAATATTTGTTTAAGGATCTACAGGAGGCGAGGATATTTAAAAGAATATTTGTTTAGGGATCTAAAGGAGGCAAGGATATTTCAAAGAATATTTGTTTAAGGATCTACAGGAGGCGAGGATATTTCAAAGAATATTTTCTCATGCCTAATAAAAGGACTGGATTTTTTAAAGAATATTTTTTTCAAGGCTAATAAAAGGCGTGCATTTTTTAAGAATATTTTTTTCAAGGCTAATAAAATGCGTGCATTTTTTAAACAATATTTTTTCAAGGATAATAAAAGGCGTGGATTTTTTATAAGAGCCGTGGATAATTTTTCTAGGCTTATAACACGTGAATTTTTAAGAAATATTTTTTCTAGGCTTATAACACGTGGATTTTTAAGGAATATTTTTCAACGCATATTTGAGATGTAATTTTTTTATACCCTTCACCAGACTGTCTTTGTGCATATGTCAGTAACAGGCAAAAGGAAAAGGAAACATGGTTCCTTTTGAGAATATGCATAGAATCACTTTCTGAGTCGATTTACGCATGTCCGTCTGTCCGTCCGTCCGTCTGTCCATGTTAAATTGTAAACAAAGTACAGGTCACATTTATGATGCGAATTGGATGAAATTTGGTATAGGTCATTTATTTGGCCCAAGGACGAACCCTATTGAAATTGAGAAAAATCGGTTCAGATTTAGATATAGGTCCCATATATATTTTCGTCCGATTTAAGATAAATGGGGCACCAATGTCCAAATATATATTTCGATTTGCACGAAATTTGGCACAGAATACTGAATTAGGTCCAGAGGGATGTGTGCCAAGGTTGGAGAACATCGGTTCAGATTTAGATATAGCTCCCATATATAAATTCGTCCGATTTAAGGTAAATGGTACACCAAAGTCCCTATATATATTATGATGTGCACGAAATTTGGCATAGAGTATTGAATTAGGTACAGAATGATGTGTGATAAGTTTCGTGAAAATCGGTTCAGATTTGGATATAGCTCCCACATATAGTTTTGTCCGATTTTATATGTAAATGATACACCTAAGTCCCATATACCTTTCGATTTGCCCGAAATTTGGCATAACGTACTGAAGTGAGCCTAGAATGATGTCTGCCAAGTTTCGTGAAAATCGGTCCAAATTTAGATATAGCTCCCATATATAGTTTCGTCCGATTTCATGTAAATGGTGCCCCAAAGTCCCTATATATCTTTCGATTTGCACGAAATTGTGCATAACGTACTGAATTGAGACTAGAATGATGTCTGCCAAGTTTCGTGAAAATTGGTCCAGATTTAGATATAGCTCTTATATATATTTTTCGTCCGATTTTATGTAAATGTTGCACCAATGTCCCTATATATCATTCGATTTGCACGAAATATGGCATAATGTACTGAATTGAGCCTAGAGTGATGTCAGCCAATTTTCGAGAAAATCGGTCCTGATTTAGATTTAGATTGTTTGAAATCGCTTAATATTTGGATAGAGCTTCCATAAATATTTTCGAACGATTTCAAGTAAATTGGGCATCAAACTCCTCATGTTAGTCAGAATGACATCACATTTTGCACAACGTACAAAATTGAGCGTAGAATAGCGTAGTTGCGTTTTCTAGAAGTACAGACATAGCCCAGGGATGACCTATTTATATTTGTTTGATGTAGATTTACATACTTTTGTCCCATTGTAACAAACGAATGACATGTTTATGGATAGATCTAGGTAGATTCACATTTAGATAAATATCACATGTTTTATTTCATCCCATTTCATGCTAATAGTCCTGTTTAATATACCCATAGTGGTGAAGGGTATCAGATAGTCGGCCCCGTCCGACTTTACTACTTTCCTTACTGGTTTTTTTGCTGTATTGTTGATATTCCTCCCCCTTGATAATTTTGATGACTTCAGCTTTGTAATTTTTAGGAATTATTAATTAGTATAATCCAACCGCAAACCTGACAACCATATTAATTTATAGAAATTAATATAACAGCCTACTAATCAAAAGTTATTTATCACTTTCTTCTCTATACATTCCTACACACATATCTTGTAAATGCCTTCCGTTTCTTTTCTTCTTTTATGTCAACATTGTGTTTCTTGACATCTTCATCGTCTTCCGGGCGAGAATGAAATATTTGCATTGCTTAAAATGTTATCCTCATTCAAATTTTAAATCCGCAATAATAAATTGTCCCAATTCATTTGCCTCAAATAGCGAACATCATTCTACCATTCGACGATGTCTTCAATTGGAGTGTGGATAAACGTAAGTGTGTGTGAGTGCGTGTGTGTACGAGGGAGCGTTGATTTAACCAGATCCCCAATACTAAAATATTGGATTTTTGAAATGGTTTCGCGTGAACATTCAACGTACACATAAATATTCGTCCTTCCATTTCGTTGTTGGTTTGTTTGTCTTTCTGTTTTTCTTTACTTCCTTATTGTGCTGCGGGCGATGTCATTCGCTTCATTCCATTGTATCTTTGACTGCCGCCTGCATGCCGAATGCCAGCCTGGCATGGACACTAGTATTAGTGGCAGTAGTAATCCTCCACATCGAGAATGTGTGAGAATTCAAATTGCCATCGTTATGTATTTTTAGCGCAGAGAATAAAGATGTGTATGTGTGTGTGTTTTTTTTTCAGTGTGCGGTTGATGTTTCTGGCTGAAGTTTATTTGCAACGTTATTTGTTTGCTGTCCATTTTTCATGTGAAGTCCTTACCACAAGGGCTATTTTTAACTGCCACCGTCTGTTTGGATTTGTGAGAATTTGTGGATGCGTAGGCTTTGGCTTTATGGCTGTTGTAGTTTTTCTGATCCTGTGTGTGTGTCCGTGCCTATATTTGTACCAATGATATTCACAAATATTGCTTTTAGTTGACAGCCGTGGCAGTTGCTACATGACTTAAATGCCAAAAGTGTTTTGAATGTGACCTTTCCCCTGCCAAAGTTGGCGACATTTTGACTAGTAGTAATACCACGTAGCTAATATTGCATTGTGGTTAACGGCAACGTGTTTAAAGGATTTAATGGTTTGAAGAGGGTGGGATATTGCATTTGAGTGTGTGAAGGAATATCTTTTGAATGCCTGAAAGAGACGTGGATTTTTTAAAAAAGATTTTTTCAAAGCTTATAAAGGGCGTGGATTTGTTAAAGAATGTTTTTCATTACCCATGAGAGGCGTGGATTATTCAAAGAATATTTTTAAGACCCATGAGAGGCGGTGATTATTCAAAGAATAGTTTTTAAGACCCATAAGAGTCGTAGATTTTTAAAGTATATTTTTGGGACCCGTAAGAAGCGTGGATTTGTTTAAAGAATATTGTTTTCAATTCCCATGGAAAGCGTGGGTTATTCAAAAAATATTTTTTAAAACCCATATTTGACTCTGAAGGATATTGTTTAAGATCCATAATAGTCGTATATTTTTTAAAGAATATTTGTAAGACCCACAAGAAGCAGGAATTTGTAATGAATATTCTTTAAGACCCACAAGAAGCGTTTTTTAGACAATAGTTTTCAAGGAATTTTTAAAGAATATTTCTTTAAGGGTCATAACAGGTGTCGATATTTTAACGAATAATTGTTCACGGTTTATAAGAGGCTTGGATTGTTTAAGAAAGAATATTGTTTAGAGGTCATAATAGGCGCGGATTTTTAAAAAAAAGAATATTTTTCAGGAGTCGTAATGGGCGTGGATTTTTTAAATATTTTTTTTTCAAGAGTCATAAGGGGCGTGGGTTTCTTAAAGAATATTTTTTCAAGAGTCATAAGAGGCGTTGGTTTCTTAGAGAATATTTTTTCAAGGCCTATATGACATTGATTTTTTAAAGCATATTTTTTCAAGGCCTATATGAGGCGTTGATATTTTAAAGAATATTTTTTCAAGAGGTTTTTTTTAAATTATCTTTTAAAAATTATTTTTTCAAGGGTCATAATAGGCGTGAACTTTTTAATTAATATTTTTTAAGAGTCATAATAGGTGTGGATTTTTAAAATAATATTTTTTTCAAGGGTAATGAGAGGCGTGGAATTTCTAAAGAACAGATTCTCAAGGGTTATACTAGGCGTGGATTTTTAAAAGAATATTCAGGGGTCATAATAGGCGAGCATTTTTATAACCTTCACCACACTGTGGTACAGAGTATTATGTCATTGTACATATGTTTGTTACAGGCAAAAGGAAACAAGATAGACACATGGTTCCTTTTGAGAATATATCACAGCTCAGTCATTTGGCCAAAGGACGGAACTTATTGAAATTTGGAAAAA